ACTGTCTCTTGAACAAGCGTTCAGAGATCGACTGGCCTACATTGAACTGCCTGAAGCAGCACGATGTGAAGACGAGTCTCGCGGACACGCCAACACTGGATGAGACGCAGAGAGCACTTGCTCAACTGCGAAACGACAAGTGTGCCAAGGCCGACGGCATCTCGCCTGAAGTATTGAAACAAGGCAGACCCGCGTTGTTGAATGCGCTGCACCACTTGGTGTAACGCGAATGGATTGAGGAGGAGGTGCGTCCTGAACTGAAGGATGCCATTGTGCTACCACTGTACAAGGGCAAAGGGAGCAAGCAATGTTGCACGAATTATCGTGGCACCAACTTGCTGAGTTGTGTGGGCTAGGTGATTGCCCGAATACTACTCAACCGCCTCGTAGGTCAGGTTGTGAAGGAAGAGCAATGTGGATTCCGTTCCGGTCGCAGCACTCTAGATATGGTGTTTGCGGCTCGTCAGTTGCAGGAGAAGTGCAGAGAACGACACCAACCATTGTCCTCGAATTTTGTTTATTTCACCAAGGCATTTGATACGGTGGACCGCGAGGCATTGTGACTGGTGTAAGTTTAATTGAATGTCAGCACAGTGGTATGCGAGTGAGGGTACAGCTGAGTGGAGAGACCTCGGATGACTTTGTAGTTGTCTCTGGTGTGAAGCAAGGCTGTGTCTTAGCTCCTGCGCTGTTTAATATATATCTTCATGCAATGTTGCCTTGTGCATTTGATACCGCTTGTGCTTTCGGTGTTCGTGTGGAGCACCGTATTGATGGTGGGTTGCTGAACATCTGTCGTTTCGGTGCGAGAACTCTAGTCTGTGAGTCAAGTATCCGTACGTTGCTGATGACTGTGAGTTGTTTGCACACAGCGCGGATGAGTTGCAGCACATGACTAGTGCTCTGGCTTCGACGGCGGCAAAATTCGGGCTATCAACACAAGCAAAACTGTCTGTCTCTTTCAGCCTTCACCGGAGGCGCAATCGTCAATATTGCCGCGAATCAGCATTGGTGCGGAAGTATAAGAAACCACCTCCCGCTTCTGCTACCCTGGGAGTGTGATGTCGACTGATCAGCAGCTACACAGTGAGCTACGTATACGCGTGTCATAGGCAGCGGCAGTATTCAGGAAGCTTGAGTACCGAATGTGGGACAACCATCAGCTTACCATTGGCACGAAGCTGATTGTGTACAAATCCATGGTGCTGCCCGTTCACCGATACGGCAGTGAAACGTGTACGATGTACCGGCGCGATATGCGATTTGTCAAGAGGTTCCATCAACAGTGTTTGCGATGGATTTTGTGGATCGGTTGAGGCGACAGAGTTGCGGACACGAAAGTGTTGCGATACTGTGGGATGTATGCAGTGGACTGCATAATTTTGCTGAGACACTTGACGTGGCTCAGTCATGTGAGCCGTATGGATTCGACGCGGATACCGAAACAACTCTTATATGGTCAGCTGAGTACTGGGAAGCGGCATGTGGGGAAACCAAAGTTACGTTACCAAGACATGATCAAAGTGAGTCTCTCACGTTCTAATCTTGATTGCAGACCATGGGAATCGAAGGCGGTTGATCGGCGTGCATGGCGTGATCTACTCACGAACGCAGTTGCCGAAGTGCGGGAGAAGGACCTAATATATGCAGAGAAGAAGCGACAAGTGCGGAAGCGGCAAGCACCGATTTGTTTTACTCCATCGACATCAAGCACATGCGGTCGCGAGTGCCTGAGTCAGGTAGGTTTGTTGATCCATGAACGAGGCCACTGAGGACCACTACCGAAGCGCCGACGGGTCCTGCAGAGAACGTAGGCAGAACCGGCGCAGCGTTTGTAGGTACGCTGCAATCGATTTACTAACCGCGTGCTTGCATGCTAAGTCTCTTTATTTCAAGTGGTGGGTTTGCAATTTTGTCCTAATGCTTTTCTTTCTCACATAAATATCTACGAGTACTCTCTTATATAAACTTGTACACGTCGCTTAAACCAACTGTAGTTAATTTCGATAACATTCTCGTGTTTGTGGCATTTCCGTAAAACATACTTTCTGACCTCGTGAGCTTATCTCGTATCCTTTGTAAACAACTTATTTCATATGCTCATCAATTTAAGATTTTGGTCACCGTTTCTTATGCATTACTCGATTTATTTTATTTGTTATCTTGCTCTCAAGTGATTGGCTGTTGCTTATTATCCCCTGTGTGGCTGCGCTTGATGTGCATGCTGACAAGTGCCTACCTGTCTATTACCCACTACCTCGTCCATACTGGCTCCAGGAGACAGTTGGTCGTTACTGGAGGGGACGGGGTGCACAGTAATTATGGCCGTGCTAGGCTCGAAGAGTGGTTCCATGCACTCAGTGTGAAGCGGACTACGGTCCAGCCACCGACTCGTGTGCGCTTGATTCCCAAATACAGCGTGCTTGTGTTTGCCTGTGAAGGAGTGTGGGTCGGCTCCATTGATGAAACGTGGCTCCCATCCGCATGCCTCCCGGTCTTATTCCTTCGGGTTTACACTGGATATGGGGTGTGTGGTGCAGCGCAAGCCACCCATGATCTCTCTGTAGGCGCAAGCGTCCTGTGGCTGGCCACAGTGACAGGCAAATCCGAAACCGGATGCCGCCAACCATACTCATCAGGTAACGCTGAAAGGTTTACAGCATAAGAAGCGCAGATGGGCATACATACGTGCACATGCAGTCAATACTTTTAAAGCCAGTTAAATCATTGATCGTTAATCAACACGTGACAAAACCACCCTAAGTGATCCTTTTCAGTTCGCCAAGCGCTGTTCAAGGTCCACTTTGGATGCATTAACTTGCACACTCCGTGCTTTCGTTACTCGATGGTAAACACAAACGCACGCGGATATGCTTCCTAGATTATAGAGATATTCTGATTGTGTAAACCATTATTTACTTACTGTTACACGAAATGTTAGCTTCCGGGGTTCAGCCTTCAGTAGCACTCCTTCTTACAGAGTAGTTCGCCAATCGCACGCAGTTTACCAGGTTGAAGAATCTCAACCTCTCACTAAAAATTCATGTGTTCTTCAGGGAGCTATTTTGTCTTCATTCCTATTTCCCGCTTACATTAGCTCAATTTCTGCTCAAAATGAAGCCATCCTGTTGAAGTATACTAAAGACGTGACCCTTTGGGTACACAGTAACACCGCAAATTCATCGGCCAAAATGCAATGCTTCTTGGAAAACCTTACAGCATTGTCCAAATCCCACAGTCTTTCACTCTACGCATCAAAGTGTAAGGATGTTATTTTCTCGCTTTCTACGAAAAATCACCAGTAACAGATCCTCACGCACACCACGCGTCGTTCTACTGGCAGTGTCAGTCTGAACTGTACCTCAGTGAAATATCTAGGAGTTACACTAAGTCGAGATCGCACGTGGTTTCATCACGTGAACGAAACGCTCACTTAAATCAGGAGACTAACGTTCTGTGTCCCAACTAAGGTCTTCATCAGTGCCAAGGTATTTAATTTACGGTTTATCACCACTTGCGTAATACCGCACTGGACATATTGCCTACCTATAATAGTATTTGGACTTTTAAACGGACAATTCAAAGTGGTCAACAACTCACTGAAGCGTAATCTCAATGTTGGGGTTTACTGACATCATTGTACTTACGTTCGCTCCTGCGGAAAACTGGCGTCCAAAATATTCCCTGACGCCAGTCACACCCTTCATCTTGCATCGTCGGAATGTATCTTGACTTCTACCACACAAAGCCATTTATGCCCACAGACGGACATACAGTACATCATTCGTTCCCTATTTGTCCCGTCTGCTGAGGGCTCAAGAGGTTATCAAACAAGAACGTATTGCCATATTGAATCGATGATATCACCTCAACCACCTTTATAAATCGTTGACGTACCATTTACATTTGTCATACTGCAGTTTTATTTGTAATTTTTAGCGTATTCATCCCAGCAGCTGACAAGTTACATAGCTCAACCACAATCCGGAAAAGCACCGGACACGTTTCTCTCTATTGGGGTTCGTCAGTGGTGTGCACTCCCTCGGTCCCCTACTGGGGATCGAAAGCATGACCGTTAGAAAAAATGTGTCAGATGTACGGCGTAACGGCGCTTCGCTGCCGCGCGACCACCACCAGTCGCGCGCGGGCTGGGTATACCGCGAGGACGCCCACCCCTACGCGTACTAGAACCGAGGACCTTATGGTTGTAAAACAGGCACGCAGACCACTCGGCCATCTGCCGCCAACTAGCTAGCAGCTTAAGTCACTGAACCATGGAGGACAGCACCTGGGCTACATAATTTCCAAGCTAACTGGGATATAGCACGAGTTATTTTCCACTGGGTTCGATCCCCAATAAGGGACGGAGGGAATGCGCACCACTGAGGAGCCTCGGTAGGGTGAAACGCGTCTGGTATTTTCCGGATTGTGGTTGAGCTATGTAGCTTGTGAGCTGCTGGGACAGATAGATAAAAAATTACAACTAAAATCCTCCTACTCAAGTAATTTTTGTGTTTATCGCGTGTATGTTGTGGCTAGATATTCACTCCTCACGGATACATAAAGTGCGTTGTTGACTTGAAATGAATCCGGGCAACCGAGAGATTCAAAAGCAAAAGAGAGGGAAGTACAAAAATATGTTTCAAAACAGCAAACAAAAAGGCAACAGTGAACGGGAGAAATTTGAGTGCCTTTGGTTCCGATTGAAACTTATCGGAGGAGAACGGTTGTGGGGATTACAATGAAATCAACGGAAAAATGAATACAGCCAACTCGCATACACGGAATGATGGGCCAACGTGTGAACCGGCACCAGAGAGGATCAGACTCCAAATGGTGCTTGATACGAGCAAACAAATATCCGATAGAGGGAGATGAGTAGCGAATAAAGAACATCCTAGGACATACGCAGAAAAACTCAGTTAGTGATGAGGACCACTGAATACAAGGCATGAAAGTCAACTGGTGTGTAAAAAAAGAATCACAGAAAGGTTACGTGGCACAAGTGGTTGGATCGGTGTACCCGAGATTTGGGAGTCTGTTGACATGTGAAAAAGGACGGAAGGAATCATGCAGTTCAATCGCAGTCCACCAGCTTCTTCAGTCGGTGGTAAGCATCCATTCGGGAAGCAGCGTATTCCTAAAACAGGTGGAAGAAGAAGGGAAAGCAATAGTGGAGGACGGTCAAGTTTAAATTTAAGGGAAGGTCGTCAAAGCTACTGATAAATGGAAATACAGTCTCGCCCGCTTTATTGCCCACCATCGGTATATTACAAAAAGGGGCAGGTGGGCACTTAACCGATATTGTCATTTTTCCAAAAGTGAAACAACCATTGAATTATGGCAAAGTATATTACTTGAATTGTAGCGTTCTAAGAAAGATAAGATACGAAGTTGTAACTAAAGCCAACAAAAGACGTTTATGCAAAAATCATGACCTATAAGTTAAAAAGTATAAGGTAGTGCACTTTACTTGAATAGCTATAGAAACTAGTGCAACTGTATTTTTTTGAGAAAACAATCCAACGTCAGTTGTACATTATTTCGTTCAGTCACCCTACTTTTGCTCTGATGAGGTCCAATTGGGATAAGAAATCGTTGCCTTGTCCATGCAAAAGTCTGTAATTACACAGATCACTCACACAGTTATTTGCTCTTGAATGCGACACGCGCTGATTGCATCCGGCCCGTCATCCTCCGAGTCGCTGCCTTCTCTATGTTTTAATCGGTTCTCTAAAAAAATCGTACTGACGATTTCATCTTCAATAGTTGTCAAATCTGACGTATATTCCACATCGCTGTCGTAGGCGACGAACTCTTCTGCACTGATGACTGGGATTGTGCAAGCGTTGATCTCGTCCTCAACGATGACGGCGCCATCAGAACGTGCATCGAAATCTAGGTGACTGAAGCCAGCATACCGAAAGCATGCTTTTATTGTCGCACCGATAAGCTGTCTCTCATATTTTAATACGAATGGAATTGCATCGAGCACAGAAATCTTGGCGATGACATCCACGACCGAAGATAAGCCAAATAACACGTTGTTTTCGATGTGAAAACGAATTCGGTCCACGATTCCTTGTTTGTAATAGATTGTCAGGTTCGTAATCAAACCATGGCCCATGGGTTGAAGAATACTGGTCGTGTTTGCCAGCAAAAATTCAATTTGAATGTTTTTCGGTCTTCCTACCTGTGCATGCGATGTGCACTTATCCAAGAGCAACATAATTCACGACATTAAAACATCGTAGTTCTTTACTTTTTTCAATCAAAAGCACTATGTTTTAATTCGTGCCTGACATTTAGGCGCAGGGCAGAAAAGTGGTCCTATCCATGGCTTTTTTCGATGTGGTTATCAACAAATGCATTTAAAAGTTTAGGCAGTTAAGCACTCGGCCAATTTTCACAGACTGCTCTGTCCACAGAACTCTTTTCGCCATGCGCACGTTTAACACAATTTGATTGCTTTTATTCCAGCTTTCCAGTAAGCCTTCTGTGGCAGCAAAGATACTTCCAAGTCTTGCCCCGAATTCTTCCCTTTTACTTCAGAATCGGGTCTGTAACTAGTTGGTTGTGCTCACGAACCGATATCATCCAGTCTTTCAAAGGAGTTTCAACGCCGTTATCCTTTCTACATCGCTTCCTTTTCTGAAAGCCTGCAGTGTCATGCGACAAATTCTGTCGAGGTTCCTTTTCGTTGGCAATCAACCTCACTAAGGTAGGAGGAGAAATGTGTAGATCACGCGACAGCTTGACCTGTGAGGTTCCTGGTGGATACCAGGAAATTTTATCCAACTTTCCTGTCAAGGACAGACCCCTTCTGCTATTGGCCATACGTGTATGTAACCAATAGAGTATTGACAAATGCGGAGCTGAAAAATTACCGGACTTTGCTCAGTTCTCGAGTTTTGAATAGGACCGAGAGCTTGCTCATAACAATCTGTACATGTAGCTTGCTCGTGTATTTAATGATGTAGGTAACGTTTTCTGATCTGCCAGTAACGCAGCAGACTGACTTGATCGGACTGGCTAGCTCTGGGGTAATCGTAATAGAAGATGATAAGCGAGCATTGAGAATATAACCCGTAACCTGTTGTCTCCCATGGCTAGGTTTTACGGGAAGTGGGCCATCGACCACTTCCTAACCTCCGGAGAGGATGGACTAGGATACTGCCAGGGCGCCCACACCTGACAGGAGAACGACTCGGGTCCTCAGCCAAAGCCTTCGATTAAATGAACACCCGAAAGGCAGCGGGTCTAGCACATGGTCAGTTAGCCGACTCATGCGGATTGGTGTCCTGGATCTTAGCAGGGAGAAGAGCGAAACCTAACTCCCACCCAGCGGTCGCCACGTGGAGGCGCCCAGGACATGAGACTATGGCGCAACAGTAGCAGCAGTGGGTATATAGATATAGATATATATATAGATATATATATACATATATATAGATATATATAGATATATATATATAGATATATATAGATATATGTATAGATATATAGATATAGATATAGATGAATACCAACAAACACTGGAACTCGACAATGATAAATCTACGCCAGTTAAACTGATAGAGCAGGCGCTACAAGAAATCTAAGCCTAATACTCGTTTTATCATTATTTGAGTTGGGGATTTAGGAACACCGGAGAAGTAACCTACTAATGATTTATCGAAATTACAGGCTCAATTACACTAATTAGTATTTTTCCAATGGGATTTTTCTAAGCACTTACATATAACTCTGGAGTTCTAATTCAGATGGTCCCTTTATAAATAATAAAATAAAATAAATCGCCCGAATAAAGTCCTACGACTATGGCACCGTTGTGTGTTTCCCATATTCGTTGATCACCGGACATATTTCACTCAATTCGCGCGCCAAGTCATTTGATGGAGGCGACCCGTGTTTGCGTATTCCATTCATGTACATTTGTGCTGTTCAGGCTATTGCGACTTCGAAGGATATGTTCCAAGAGTAGAAAATCACCGATAATGTCCAAAAATGCTCGCCAACCATAGTTAGGGAAGAAAATAAGAAGACAGTGGTTTGGTAGAGTGGTCGTGTTTAGGAGATAGCGATAGGAAAATAGTACAATTTTGGGCCAGTACAGTTCCGAGTTCGGCAGTAAACAATCTATACAAATCAACATCATATGGATGCTTCTTAATGATGAAAAAAAGAAAAGGTGGTGTGAAAAAAACGATGAAATATAGGTGATGACCAGTCATGCTCGACGGAGAATGAACACGGTCAGTACATGCGTCGATAGAGTATTCGTGGCTGAATGCAACGACACGGAGAGCATCTTGATACAGGCCACACGCGGATAGTGGAAGCGAAAAATCGAAATACTCTGATACCGACGCACGCTGAAAAAGTCGCTGAATGACAGACGCCACTCGGTCCCGGACGACACCAACTGTAGTGAAGAACACCGATCCCTGGATCGAGAGTTGCGCAGAGGTTGGTAAAAGAACCATGAGAGCGGTTGGTGTGAACGTGCTAGAGTAAGAGAACTTGCTAGTCTCTCTGGCAATAACAATAACTCTTCCATCTCATCCGAGTCATGGCTAGTTTAATGAACAACCTCTCATGGTGACAGATGGGAAGTTCGGGATTATCCCGAATCAATGTTTCATGCTCTAATTGAAGTAATCGTAGCGCTATATATCTGTTTTGGTGCTTTAAGCCAGTAGGGTAGGTGACCTTCAGTGCTCTCTGCATTGAGTATTGCGTTCGGATGATCTACCTGGTTCGTCGCTGACAGCTAATGGAGCACTTCAGATGGATATTTCGGTTTCACAGATTGCGAATTCAGTTGGTCAGAAAACTTGAAAATGAATAATTGACAAAGGCATGACGAGTGAGTGGTAGATGGACACGAACGGAAGCATGATCGGAATCTAGACAAGTACTCTAGACCAAGCCACGATACTGTATCGATGGCAGTCAATTATATCTGAGGAAAATGCGGTCAATCCGAGTCGAAGTGTGAACTGGTGCTAGAAAGCCGTGCTGCTGATGTGTTTGTGATCGATACGCAACCGAAGAAAGCTATCACCACTACTGAGAAGACAAATAAATGCAAAGTGAGTGAATAAATCAGCGGGAAACTACTTGTATGCAGTGACACAATACCAAGTTTTAGGGTAATAAATAGGTCAGTGTGACAAAGGTTGCGGTGAATGACGGAAATGACAATGCTAAGTTGCGAACTTCTCCGCACTACTTACACATAACGAGTAGCTCACCCACTTCCAGATTTATGATCGCATCATTGCCTGACAATTGATTAGCGCCATTGTTGCAAATGGTCGAGTCTGCACAACACAATAAACCTGTAAATGTTGCACCTTCTATATTTGTTTCACTGTATAACATTCACTGGTTTTTCACATCTATTACTGCTTCAACGATACACGGATTCACTGTTTCCCGGTCCTCGCAAACCATTCCATTAATTTCCAAGTCTATAGCACTATTAAGTGAGGTCCGTCGCAGCCAGTTTCCAAATCAGATAGTCGTCCGCATGCCCGGAAAAGCACTAGACTGCAGTTTCAGTCTGTTGGGCATCATCAGTAGTGCGCATCCATCGGATCAGTCAGGATTCGAACCCATGACCACCAACGGCTTGAACCGCCAGTCAGCAGCTTATGCCACTGGGCCACGGGAGACAGGTTCGGACCGTCATGATGTACAAGCTAACTGCGATATAGCGCGTCTTATCCTCCACTGCCATGCAAATTACGAACGTCGCATAGGACAGGGTTGGCCCCGGAAGACAAAAAGTCCACTAACAGTAGCTATGTACGACAGCATTTAGACGGATCCGATGGATGCGCACTACTGACGATGCCCAACAGGCTGAAACTGCAGTCTAGTGCTTTTCCGGGCATGTGGACGACTATCGGATTTGGAAACTGGCTGCGATGGACCTCAGTTAATTACATCGAAATCCCCTACTCATGAGTACATCAAATTATTGCACTATTGTTTATGATAATAAGTATGGAGCCACGGTTTGACAGTACGATTTGATCTGCCCACCGCTAATAATTCTGCTGCCCAGAACATGGGTTTTTCGCGGTACACTGGCTTACTCTCTAGCTATACAACTATAACAGCCTCCAGTCA